CCCTTTTCAGATGTTATGTTCCTGAAGCTGTGACCATGTGTACAGAATGCCTGTGTTACATGCAATTCTCCTGATACGTGTGATCGCCATGTCTCCTGAAAGAAGTGCCTGGATTTTCTGACTTGGTATACAGATACCACCAGATTCATCTTGTACACATGTTCCAAAACTGAAATATATAAAGACAACAGTCATGAGAGTCTGACCCATACAATATATTGTATTAGAAATTGTACAGAGAATTCCTGGAGAAAGGACTGACTTGAGGTGATGCCTCTTACAGAGAGAAATGTTTTGGATTCACCGGCTGAACAGCGTATCTCCAAATGGACTAAATGCAGAAATTGACCTTTCATGTTTTCTGTAAACTACTTCGTTTTTTGTAAACTATGGCCCCGGTCACACAGGCCAGATAATCCGTAGGTGAATGAAGGCTTTTAACTGCGGAGAAAAAAGAAGTGTGGTAGCGTGATCTCATGTTCCCCCGTGGCTCTGTCCTCTGGCCGTCAGCAGCCGATCAGGACGCGGACAGCTGCTCGATGCAACGGGCTACCAGCGTGTCTCCGATCAGATGCCCGCCTACGCCGTGCATTTACTGAAAGATAGTACGTCGAGGTAGGTAGTTTTTAACTCTGGGTTTTCAGCGGGAAGCCACGGATTGGCCACAGGTCCGCTCTAGTTGCCAGATGTGGTGGTGTGATCACACCTGAATAATTCGCTCACCACCCGTGGCTCTCTTGCAGCTACTTCCACGTGTGAACAGGGCCTACTATGTGATGTTTTGTAAACTACTATGTGATGTTTCTTTAAGTGTACTGCCTCTTATCACCTGTTAGCAATTTGCAAGGTCCCTTTAATTACGCTTTGCTAGGAATCACTAGAGGGAGGTGCCCGAGATCCATTTAGAAGCTTAGCAGCATATTTGAGCCTGAACATTTATTGAGACCAGCGTCCTATCTGAATGTAGTGTAAGTTACTACTAGGTTGGCTTAATTTTTAAAATACTCTGTAACTTAAAATACTTTATATTTTTTCATAACAAGAGGAACATTATTATATTACAGATTCCTTATGACTTGTTGTCAAGCATTTCATGAATACAGAGGGCTTTTGTACTACTCTGTAATTAAGACTGTACCAGGATTTTATACTGTTTTCTATTGTTTACATAGTATATACTCTAAAAATTGTATTTTTGTACACTACAGAATATCTCCTGGGGAAGATCTAATTTTGAAACGTTATATGATCGGAGACGACGTTGATTATGTACCTATGCACAAAGATTTTCTTATGATTTATTAATGATTTTTATAATACATAGGAAGCTTTTTCTTTGCAAGTCTTGGTGACTGCTTGATTTGTGGGTCAGACTCTCACGACTGTTGTCTTTATACTTATTTTCTGATTTGGTCGTATTTGTCCATATTTACCAAAGCTGAAATATACATGTTGTCTCTTCCAGAAGAAACAGCAATCACATGTTTTGGGGGACTATGTACAGAGCGGTTGTCCCATAACTGTGGGGTCTAGGCTTGCCAAGTCCCCCCACCCCAGAGGCCCATTCCCCGCTGCCAGTGGATCGGGCCCCAGGGGAACCCCACCCCCAAAGCACGCGACATGCACGTCACCCAGAAGTGACGCAACCTCGCTGGGCACGCTGGGGGTGGGGCCACAGTCATCCAAGGGAAAACTATGTTTTTCCCTCGAATGGTCGTGGCCCTGCCCCCAGCGTGCCCAGTGTGGTCGCGTCACTTCCAGGTGATGTGGTTGTCTCTGGGAGCAACACTGGAGTCCCCCGCTCTACCGCTGCTCAGACTTGGGAACCCTAGTGGGGTCTAATGCAACAAATGAAACAAGGCTTACCGCACATCAAACTCCACATATTCCTGATTGTTTCATTTGAAAAATGTGTGTATCTGATTTACATGAATAATTTCATTCAGGTTCTCTTGTCTACCATCAGATTACCCAGAAACTGCTTTTTGTAAGAGTTCTGACAAAGACACGGGCAGGGAGTCCTCCCTTCTTTGTCTACTCTTGTTGCAATGCTGTACTTTCAAAACTACGTCTGTCAGGAAGGAGACAGGAAATTCGAGTCACTCTTACAACAGCTGTGCCATGCCCACTATCATTCTCAAATGACGTAGTTTGGCTTCAGTGGCACAGGGCCAGGGATTTAGCAATAGCAGAGGTCAGGAAGATGGGTCACTGTTTATACAGCTCATGCAGTTGGGATCATGCAGGGTCTATTTGCTTTCTTCCTTTCTCAACTGTTTCTCTTTCCGTTCTTCTTTACTAACAGGGGCTTGAAGCATCCTGTTTTCCAAACATTAGACTGTTTTGCTGTTAGAAAGTCTCTGTGCAGAAGCCTTTGACGGAAGGAAGGCAGATTATTCAGACACTTCACAGATGCAGAAAATCTGACAATAAATTAATTAACAAAACATCTGTAAGAGCTTTCTGAACACTCTCCTGCCACGATTTACTTTCAACCATAAGTGTTTGTCAAGCTGTGTATCTCACCTGAGTCACCTCCAATAATGCAAAGACAGCCAGATACATATATCTGCAATTCCTTACATTTCTCTTACCTAATGTGACAGCAAATGCAATGTGAATTGTGATCAAAATGGAAAAGGTGAAATGGGAGATAAGTTTTCAGCATATTGAACATTATAGCCACTTGCAGGAAATCTTGGTTTTCTGGAAACTTTGTTTTTTGCTAACCAACACCAATAACATCACATATTAATCCTATTAAACCTTTATTGTTGCCATTTTAAAAAATTGCTGTGTGCTAACAGAGAGACAGGAGTCTAGGTGACACTGGAACTGTGCAATATTCAGTTGTGTTACCATTCTTGAGTTTGCTTGCTGACTGTTTATATAGTGCTGCCAAGTACACAAAACTTTGTTCTATCTTAACATTCCTTATGACAACATTGTGAAATTGGGTATCAGTCCCTTATTTAACAATGGGAAACAAGGTTCAAGAAAATGATCTGCCCAAGGCTAAGGTGGATTTGTAAATTCTGTCCTCTGGCCCACTTACGAAGCATTTCTGTTTTTTGACACATGAGTTAACTCTTCAGAAGTAACTATTTTAAATGCAACAAAGGAAAGATAGTGCAACATTGTACGGAATTGAGCTGCAAATTTATACCAGATATAAGAAAGATCGAAAAGAACACATGAATCCTGATACCTTTGGATATGAAGGCCAAAGAATGTTTTAGGGTTCACAGGTTGCTTTGTCGGGTAAGACCACATTTACAGGTGTTAATAATTGCACCTGGAGAAAATAACACATTTTGGGATCACTGAAGTAGTAGCTCTCTTAGCCAGGGGGCAGAGCAGGAAGGCTCTCCGTTATGGCTGCAGGAGAACTCATTTAATTCCTGAGACAGACGTGAGCCATATGTTCCATTGGGCAAGCCTAGGATCACAGCAGAGGTAGTGCCTGCAGCCCCAGGGAAGAGGGTGTGCCTTTTGTCAATCAATTCAATATTCAGGCTGCTGGCCAATTAAGGAGTGTCTTTAATGTGACTATAATCTGAAGCAGAGATTGTTAGGTACAGAATGGAAGGTTCATTTTTCAGGAGTTTCAGGAGCGATGGGATTTATTTAGAGGAAATGTACAATTTATTCCTACATTAGTAGGGCTGCCAAGTGGGGGCGGGGGACGAGTAGACCCCTGCTTCGGAGGCCTGATTTCCGCCACCGCGGAATCAGGCCCCGGGGGGAACTCCACCCCGGCGTGCACATCACCTGGAAGTGACGTAGGCACGCTGGGCATGCTGGGGGCGGGGCCACGGCCGTACAAAGGAAAACTCTATGGTTTTCCCTTGTATGGCTGTGGCCCCGCCCCCAACGTGCCCAGCGTACCTGTGTCACTTCCAGGTGACGCGCGTGTGCATGCGCACACACACCTGACGCTGGCTGGGAGCCCCCCGCTCCCGGCGAAGAATCACTTGGCAACCCTATATATTAGGCAGATAAAGTGTAAACAGGTTTTATTAGGAATCACTTGTTTCCAATTAAAGCACTTGCTATCATGGGCCAATAGAGCTATTCAAGTCTTTCACTCTATCTTCCACCCCTTCCCCTAAAACACACCTTTGGATTAATAATTTTCACTTATATTCAACTTCCAGCATTCTTTTAAAAATATGCCCACCAATGGAATAGCTTTTCACATGGTTTGTTGGCATTATAAATACATCTCTTGCATGAAAAAAACATACCCATGAAGTACGTACAAAAACTAACATTCATACCATATACAATGTATTATAAATTAAGATTACAGCTTGTAATCATGAGCATGACGAGCAATTGCATTTACAGAACATTTTTGAAAGTTATACATCCCTGCAGGTTATCAGGTTAGCTGTATTTAACTGATTTCATTGCCCCTTGACATTATCCCTACATTTCCGGTGGTGGTGGAAGTGGGTTTTCAAGGCAAGAGATGTTCAGAAATGGTTTGTCATTTCCTGCCTCTGTGAAGCAACCCTGGGTTTCCTTGGTGGTCTCCCATCCCAAATACTAACCAGGGCTCCTACATATCTAATTAACCATATTTATCCTGGAATAGATTTCAGTGTATCAATATTTACAATAACATGCTTCCCGAACGTATAGATCACTGGTCAGTAGAAAACTGTCCTTTATAATTTTAAAGTGTACTTAATGCCTGATCGGCAATAATGCCCAAAGCAAAACTTGATTTCTTAGTGCAACCAAGTCCTCTTTGAGGACCTACAAAGTTTGACATTAATTTGCACTGCAGCAGCAGTCTGATATGAGCCTGCACCACTGAAACCCCACGTCTCCAAAAGAGAGCTGGGGGTGGAGAAGAAGAGGACAAAACTTTTACCTTTATTTTTAGAAAGCAGAACCTCCTGCAGCCATACAAGTTTTAAAACTGCTGCACACTGCCTGCTTCCCCCCCCCCCAAACTTTACTGTTGGATGTACGAGCAAAGAATGCCTTACCTTATTAGATGCCATCTCACTAACGGATCGGTAGGTCTGAATGGTTTCAAGTTGGTCTAAACACCAGTCCAATTCCTCCAATGTTTCCATTGCTAATTTTTGATAAGACTCCTCTGCAAACACACATATAGACATGTAGTTAGTCTTGAGCGACTGCAGACTTTCCATGCTGGAGTCAGTGACACAGCTCGGACCAATGCTGCTATAGGTGCTACAGTGCTCTTTCATCATGCGTTCTGCAGGCTCCCGTTCTACTCTCAGCAGAACAAATCAATGCACGTCCTGCCTTTGAATGGCTGTTGAGGTTTGATGTTGTTTTTTTTCTTTCGTTCTTACTGGCTTTGAAGAAGAGATGTGTCAGTAATATATCAACAAACTTCCTCTAGAAAGGAGTGTAGGAGGAGGGACATACTCTGACAGGCTTCTCATCTGCACGCAGATATGAACTCACAGAACAGATGAAGAAAAGCAGTTCTTCCTAAGCAAGGGGTCTCTCTCTCTCTCTCTCTCTCTCTCTCTCTCTCTCTCTCTCTCTCTCTCTCTCTCCCCCTCTCCCCCCCTCTCTCCTCTTCAGTATTAATCACCTCTGCTGCACTTCTTGTGTAAAGTGATGACATTGTAAGAAGACTTGTAAAATGTCAGCACAAGAGATTAAGCAATCAAATCATATGTCGTTTCCCCCCTTTAAGAAAAAGTTTCAAATGAAAAGAAAGAAATAATTGGAAGGAAGTTTGCAAGCTATGGGAAATACTGATGGCTTTCTAAACTTTTGAAAGTTTATTCATCTCCAGCTAAAAGGAAGTCTTTCCATAGTGCACGGACTTGTTTTCTGAAAAAATATTTATTCAGTCGGGTGTTTTATGAGATGTCTCTGACAGGGAAATGAACAGAAACCATGGAAGATTTTTTTTTTAATTGGCAAAACGAAAATCCTGCTTCCTTTAACCAAATTAAAAATTCTTTTTAGTTCATGCCAAGGATACGGTATAGGGAAACTGTGAACTGGATTTTTAGGAGGAGTAAAATGCTATTTCCCCCTTTTCTTTTTTTGCTGTTATTTCCCTCCCTTTACACATTTGGATTTGAGAAGCATAAACCTCCCAACAGATTTTCTAAGGAGACCTGAAGGAATCCACAAAGGCTCACAAGCAACTAGCATCTTGGACAAGGTCACTGAAACTGTCTTAAAAAGACACCCATCAGCATACACATGTTCCCTAGCACAAGGACTGTGGGATCTTGAATGATAAGGCTAAAAAGGGGGGCAGTCATAATAGTAAAGAGCCCTAGAGTGTTACAGACACTGTGAGCACTGTATACATGAAAAAACAGTGTGCTTGCCAAGTTCTTCTATTTTCTAAATTCTTGTTAAACAGCCATTCAGAAGTAAGGATACACATCCAACCGTGCCCTCCCCCCCAGCCTACATCTCCTATTCCCTTCTGCACAGCATTTCAATCACTATGTTTTCTTATTTATACTAATACCTGGGTCAAGCCTTATACATAGGGTTGCCAACTTTGGGTTGGGAAATTCCTGGATATTTGGGGGTGGAGCCTGGGGAAGGTGGGGTTTAGGGAGGGGAGGGACTGAGTGGGCTATAATGCCATAAGGTCCACCCTCCACAGCAACACATTTCCCCAATGGGACTGATCTCTGGACATCAGTTGTGATTTCAAGAGATCTCCAAGTCCCATCTGGACACTGTCAACCACTGTTTAGACAATACACTCCAACTTTTGAATATAAGCCTAAGAACCTGTTGTAAAGGTAACATGCTGATTTTCATCCCACTTATACACATTTTAACAACATTTGTAAAAGGGGACATGGGACATCAGTACTTAAACCTCTGAGGCCCCGGTCACACGGAGCATTAGCCATGCTAGATGAATGGAAGATAGGCGGATTTTCCGGGCACGATCTCACCACCACATCTGGGAAGCGTAGAGCTCCCGTGGCTCACCCGAGGCTTCCCACCGAAGACACGCGGTAAAAAACTAGTACCTCGGAGGTAGTAGTTTCTGAAAACCGCGGGGCAAGGGCGGGCGTCTGATCGCATTTCTGGTGGCATATGGCGCCCACCCATGCCCCATTGTGAAAAGGTTTCCCCCCCCCCCGAAGTCTGCAGGGATGCGCACAGGCACCCAACGGGGCATGCACATACTTCAGGTTAAAAAAAACCCACACAACCCCGTTTGGTGCATCGTGTGATCGGCACCTCCCCCTTAACCACAGGACCTCGATGGGACCGCGAGGGGACGCCTGATCGTGCAGTCGCGCGTTATTTCGCCGCGGGGCAAACAGCCATGCCTTCCCCTGGCAATATCCGGCCCGTGTGACCAGGGCCTGAGAAAATTTAGCAGGGAATTGAATAGCTATGTGCTTGAAGCAAAAACGTCTATATAAGGAAAGCAGGTAGACTAAACAGCCATCTATTCCAGTACAAAATATGATTTGTACTTAATCAGCTAATCTCACTTTTGCTGAAATTGGTGGCATTTCATTATCAGCAGAGGGGCTTACACTTTTAAAAACTTATTCATAGTGACTATATTTACACAGTTTTAGCTTCACTTTAACAATATCTGTCTTCACACTGCTCAATTATTAGGATGCCAAAGCAAACCTAAAGACTGACAGATTAACTGAGATGATGACATTAGCTTGATAGCATCTGTCTGCTGAACAATATATGTTGAGGAAGCATATGGAATGTGATTAGGAGGTCTGCCACAAAGGTATCAATCAGGCACTTTTCATTAAGTTGCTCACAATACAATAATCCAATAAAGTTATATCATTTGGCTCATTAGTATTTGAATTTTAAAGTGTTACTATTCAAGCCTGAGTCGGACTCAACTGTGCGACTGAACAACAACTCAAGCCTGAAGGCCCTATCTGAAATCCTATATGCATAAAACAGACTTATGATTAAGCATCACTGAAATAATGAACCTCACACACTGAAAGGCATCTTGTTGTTCATATATTTCAACACTAGTGAAAATAGCTATGAAGGAGTCACTTAATCTTGTATGAGTTATGGAAAGAATTTAGCTGAAGAAAAATATTTAGGGTTGTGCATTCAGAAATTAACTAAAATCAAATCACTTCTCCTTTGAAATATGCTGAATACAACTGCTAAACACAACACAGAAATGGCCACTGTAGTGCTTTGCTGTTTATTTTCACTGCAGCATGGCACAGGTGCAGTGAGAGGATCTGCAACAGGAGCCAATAATTCAGCAAATAATCTGATAGGGGCATTTTCCAACCAGAAGAGTAAGCAGATGTTTCCATTAAGGAAGACTGTACCCATATGCATTTCTCTACACAATGCTTTCTGCTAATCATTGTTCTGAGAGCTTGGTTCTATAAGATATGAACAAAAATGGGGCCTGTTTGTTTTTTGTTCTGTTACTGCCCAGGGACAAATATTTTGTTTGTACTTTCTGAAGGCAGGCACTGCAGACTCAGGGACTCATTTTCCTTCCCTGGCAACAAATGTCATGGGAGGATGAGATAGACATACCCTATAGCCATTGTTGCCTCCCAGATCCATGCTGCTACCGACCAGATCCAAGACAAGCTCTAAAAACACTAATAGAATTGCTGGGGCTTATCTTCCTCCGAGCTATTGGTGGTAAGGGAAGAGGCAGTGGGCATAGCCTATGTCTACCATGGCCTCATAGAACTATGCTACCAGCAGCTGGAAGAAAGTTAACTCTCAGTGGCACTGCCAGTCCTTTTGGAGCTTGTGTTTCTCTTGGCCATAAGTGGCATTGGTGGTAATTGGTGGAGCCTATATCTGTCTCCTCACAGAGCCATGCTGCCATTGCCTGGGCAGCACTAATGTGGCGTGTCTTTCTTCTGTCTGCTAGTGGGGGGGGAGGAAGCAGTGGGTATAACCTACAACCATCATTGTCTCCTGGACTTTTGCCATTTGTCCAGGTCCTGCTAGCAATGCTAAGGGCACTGTATGGATCCAAGACAGACAATCAGACAGTCCACCTGACTGAGGCAACAAAACAGCTTGAGTCACCTTGTGCAGACTAAAGGGGGGGGGGGAAATAAAAAGAGACTGTGATAAGCAGCATGCCTGCAGGGGAAAAAGCAAATGTTTTGCTTTTACTCTTTGAAAGATAAGTCCTGGAGCAGGAGACAGAGATAGAGACTAGGCTCCACTCCACTCCATCCTTGCCTGACAATGGAGAAAGGCAGTTCCAGAAAGCTTCTCATCTCTGGAAGGCAGGTAAATGTTTCTCTCTCACCAAGGAAGACACAGCCAAACTAGATGAATGTAAGAAGTCTATGATAAGGCAGAATCTCAGATCTGTCTGCATAAGAGATGGGGGGTGGGGAATTCTGATCACTTTGTGTCTTTTTTTATAAAAACACTCAAGACATTCCCTAGTCCCCAGCCTCAACTGGTATTAGTCCTGGTTGGGGTGGGGTGGGGGAACAGGAATCTCCTGCTTACTTGTAAAGAACATGAGAAAGCATGGGCAAGGGTAGCTCAACTGTGGCCCCTCCCATGACTTATTCCAGTTTTGAAACATTTTTCCCCACCTTAGCTCCAATACTGGAAGGCAGTGGACTGGATGAAAAAAGCTGAAATCAACTGAATTCAGGGAGGTAAGGCAGGAAGGGGTTTAGTTACCCTCTCATCTGCATGCTCTGCTTTATTTAAAAATAGTCCTAGAAAAAGAGGTGGGATTTGGGTGTCTTTTGCTAAATAGTAAATGCCTCAATCAGAGTGAAGGGGGCATGGTATAGTCTGATCTCTTTGGATCTCGGAAGGTAAACAGGCATAGTACTTGGATGAGAGACAACCCAGATAGGCTCTTCAGAGGAAGGACGTGGCAAACCATACTGCTTCTCACATGCCTTGAAAGTTCCTTACTAGGGTCACCATAGGTTGGCTGTGATTAGATGGCACATATATATGCAAATGCCTCATTCACACAATTCATGCATTAAAAGATCAAATACATTTAAAAAGCACTATATAAGTTATCTCATTGATATTTGACTTTGAATAATCTATAACAAATATTTTCCTAGACGAGAGCATCGTTCATTGGCAAAGTTATCCCACTACTATTAAAAA